CCCCCCCCCCCCCCCCCCGTTAGAGTACAGCCCTCCTCATCCCAACAAACCGCAGGGCTCACGGGAGAGAAGATTCAAAAATGATTCATTGCGGAGGATGTGTGTGCATAATGATGGTTTGAGTTTTTGGAATAAAACGTAAACATCGTTCAGGAATTAAAGTGTCTGATTTCAGCCTGACTGTCAGTTCGTATGATCTCACTGCGTTTTTTTCTCACACATCCTCCACACAAGCGAGCCAATGTCCTACAAACAGGTTTTAAATCACCGCAGCCCGAGAAAACACACAAAATGCGCGCGTGAATGACACAGCAGCCAAAGTGAATGTTTTCAGCAGACCGAGTCCAGTGGGGAAACCTCGCTCTCAGCCCAAGCTGTGCGCTGCCTCCTCAGCGCACACCAGCACGGATGTGAGCCCGCAGCCTGAGCGCGGCACAGAAGCGCCGCGGCAGCAGCAGCCCTCACCCACGTCTCCGCAGGCTCAGGGGCGCGCATACCTTCCCTCAGCGCACACCAGCTCACATCAGCACGGATGTGAGCCCGTAGCCTGAGCGTGGCACAGTAGCGCTACGCCCCTGCGGCAGCAGCAGCCCTCACCCACGGCTCTGCATGCTCAGGGAGGATCCAGGATTCACGTGCTGCATCTACCACTGCGCTGTACACATCAAAGTGGACAGCTTTTCAGCGCTGCTGTACGGAAAAACGTATAGAGGCCACCTCATGTCCACTAGGTGGCGTGCTGTCCTTTTTGCAGTAGCTGATGGACAGAAATCTGGCATTCAGCACGATTAAAACGTACGCTGCAGCCATCTCTTCTTGTCACAAAGGTTTCGGGGACAGAACAGCTTTTAATCATCCGCTGATGAAGCATTTTTTAAAAGGTGTACAGAGACGCAGGCCTGTTTTCACGCCCACTTGCTCCACAGTGGGATTTAACGCTGGTCCTGCGAACCCTGAACAAAGGTCCATTCGAGCCACTAGATCAGGTTCCGATTAAATTCTTGGCTCTTAAAACAGCCCTGCTGTTGGCTTTAACATCTGTTAAGAGGGTGAGTTATTTATCTGCCCTCTCTGTCGCTCCGTCATGTCTCAGAATTCAGGTTGATGGCAGCTCAGTTGATCTGAGGCCTAATCCAGCGTTTATGCCTAAAACATCACGAGCTCTTTTAAATCAAGAGTGATATCGTTGGAGGGACTTTTTCCCTCCTCCCCACAATCAGAAGAAGAAGCATCTTTCCATCTTCTATGCCCTGTACGTGCGTTGATGTGTTACGTACCACGCACAGCAGCATTGCGTCAGACTCAACATTTGTTTGTGCATTATAGAGACGCATCTGCAGGTCGCCTGTTATCCACCCAGCGCCTGTCACACTGGCTGTGTGAGGCCATTTCTGAAGCCTACAGAGCATCAGATTTAGAGCCTCCTGACAACCTCAGGGCGCACTCGACCAGAGGTATCGTATCTTCGACTGCTTTGCATAATGGTATGTCAATGCAGGATATTTGCACTGCGGCCGTGTGGTCAACACCCTGCTCATTTATTCGCTTCTATTTACGTGATGTGACGGCTCGTTCCATGACACATTCTATCCTTAGTGCCTTAACAGAATGAATATTGTTGTTTCATGGAATCTCGTTTAAACTCACATCTGACTGCATGCATTTACAGTGTGAGATGTTGTAATCAGTCACAGGTTATGACTGTTGTTCTTGTTATATGGTTATTAATCAGTTCATGACTACTGTCATCAATCAGTTCATTTGATTAATAATCAGTTAATTTATTATTAATCTGTTCATATTGAAGAGCCTCAGCCTCTCCTCTTTTCTGTTAAAAACCTTTCCGGGGCATTCATGCACTTGGAACGTGTAAATTACGCATTGCGAGTCTGTGCATTGTGCGTGTAATTACGCAATGCGTATTTATGCACATGGAGAGCTGAGTGACAAGATGTTTTTTGGGCAAGCAGGTGCTTCTTATGGTGTTCAAATGGACCCAGTGAGGCGAAGACTACATCTGCTTCGCACTTAACCCACCAGCAACAGCCTTAAAGGGCGAAGCCTATACAAAATAGAACGTTGGTTACGTACTGTAACCCCAGATTCTATGAGTATAGACGTAGCCCTTTAAGCGTCGGGCCTCACTGGCTGCTAAATGGCTGAAGAAAAAGCTATTTGGGAGCCGATTACCTGCTCTTAACGTAATTTATACGGACCGGGTGGGACCCACACAACAGGTGGGCGTGGACTAATTTTTTCAGCGCAATGCTTTGCATGACGGGATAAACCCACCAGCGACAGCCTTAAAGGGCGAAGCCTATACTCATAGAATCTAGGGTTACAGTACGTAACCAACGTTTCCAGAGGTCGTTATCATTTCGACGGGGCTTCATAGTAGGTAGATCAGTTTGACTTGGTCATTTTAAAAGGAGCTCGCATGCTGAAAAAGTGTGGGCACCCCTGGTTTTAACCACGAGTCAGACAGTGAAGCGTCATGAAGATTTATGATGATCATGCAGTCTGTATGTGCTGAATGCAAGCTATAGTATATGAAACGCCATCCAGTGGCTGATTCTTGTACAGCTGCTCATATTGCTAGGAGCTGGGCACAGGATGTGGTAATGAAACATGGATACCTGCAGCTTAATTTAAACCCGTGGCTGGAGTAGCAAAGCAGTCTGCTCCTCAGACAAATAATGTTAGCTTATTTTTTATATAAAGTGAACCCTCGCTATAACGCGGTTCACCTTTCACGGTCTCGCTGCTTCACGGATTTGCATCGTGCATTGTGTTTTGCATTCTGTCTGGCTAAACAGTCTCAGTAGTTACAGTAGTTATTTGTAAAAAACGTTTATACAGTACTTTTATTTGTTAAACAAATGCTTGGGCCTGTAAAAAGGTTTTGTTCTTTGGTTTGAATGTATTATGGAGTATTTCATTGTATAATAAATTGTAAAAAAATAAAGGTTACTACTTCACGGATTTCGTCTATCACGGGTTCTTTTTGGAACGTAACCCCCGTGAAAAACGAGGGTTCACTGTATATTAATGTTTCTGTTCAGTGCCCTGAGATGACTTCTGTTGTGACTTGGTGCTATATTTAACCCTTCCACTGCTGCGCTCTTTTCCTCTGCTTTTACTAAAAACTCTCTCTCAGTCTCTGAATCCTCTTCCATCAACACCACACCCATGAGCTAGCCACTGTACATCAAGAGATGTGCTAAGATTCTCGACCTAGTTGCCTCATTAAAAATTGGGCATCCAAAGCGCACTCCACACTCTTGGATGAATGAGATCACTCGCGCAGCCAAACGTCATTGCAGGAAAGCCGAACGTAAATGGAAGAAGGACGAACTTCACGTTTCTTTTATCGTGCTAAAAACATGTTACAAAGAGTACCAGGCCACTGTTAAATCATAAAACAAATATTTCTCCCAAATCATCGCCTCAAACAGCCACAATCCCCGCGTTCTTTTCAACACCATTAACTCCATTTTAACCATGCCTCAGTCTGCCAACAGTGAGGTCTCTGCAGTTACGTGTGACGACTTTGCCAGTTTCTTTGTTAAAAAGGTTGAGTCGATCAGGTCACTGATTCCTCACACCACAGCTGACCCCTCTGTCTTTGTCCCCTCCACATCAGTCTTTAACCAGTTCGAACCCATTTCCCTCTCATTTCTAAATGACGTCATTGGTCATATGAAACCCTCAGGTTCCCCTGCTGACTCCATCCCTGCATTGTTTTTTAAACAAGTCCTACCCTTCATTGGACCCTCTGTTCTTGACATTATAAACAGCAGTATGGCTACAAGTGTGGTACCTGACACTTTTAAACATGCAGTGGTAACTCCTTTAATAAAAAAACCCGGACTTGACCCTTCAACTTGCTCAAACTTCAGATCCATCTCCAAACTTCCCTTTCTTTCTAAGATCCTGGCGAAAATAGTTTTCACTCAATTAAATGAGTTCTTGAGTGGAAATTCTATTCTTGAGATCTTTCAGTCTGGCTTTAAGAAATTACACAGCACCGAAACAGCCTTAGTTAGGGTCTGCAACGACTCTCTTCTGGCAAATGACTCTGGTCAGTCTGTAGTCCTGGTACTCCTTGACCTTACCCCTGCATTTGATACTGTGGACCACAATATCCTTTTATCCCGACTAGAACACTGGGTTGGGATTACTGGTGCAGCGTTAGAATGGTTCCGTTCATACCTGAACGACAGGAGTTTGTGTTAATTTTGCTAACACTCCATCTACTTCAGTGCCTCTTTCCTGCGGGGTCCCGCAAGGCTCCATTCTTGGACCCCTTCTGTTTTCATTGCATCTCCTCCCCTTAGGGTCTATCCTGAGGAAACATGGTCTTTCCTTTCATTGTTATGCTGATGACTCTCAGATTAATCTGTCGTTAACACCTAACAGTTCCTCCTCCATTCGCCCTTTGTTAAAATGTCTTGATGACATCAAGACTTGGATGGCTGCAAACTTCTTAATGATCAGAAGACTGAGGTCATTGTGTTTAACCCTAGCTTTGCCTGTCACTGATCCTGCAAACCTGGACTCCCTTCAGCCATATCTAAAACAGTCTGTTACCAGTCTCGGGATAGTTTTAGACTCGGACTTTAAGTTTAATAAGCAGATACATTCTGTTCTTCAAAAAAGCTTCTTTCAGCTAAGGCAGATAGCTAAGCTCAAGTCCGTCCTGTCCAGATCCGACCTTGAAAAATTAGTCCATGCATTTATTACAACCCGGCTGGACTACTGTAACTCGCTTTATGCTGGGGTCAGTCAGGTCTCTCTCACGTCTCCAGCTTGTCCGAAAGGCTGCAGCTCAGCTACTAACAGGAACTCACAGGTTTGAGCACATTACTTCCGTTCTGTCCTTTCACTGGCTTCCTGTGCGTGTCAGAGTTGATTTTAAGATTCTTCTGCTGACATTTAAGTGTGTTAATGGCCTTGCACCATCATACCTCTCCGACCTCCTTCATCCTTACTACTCCTTCTCGGGCCTTGAGATCATCAGACCAGCTGCTTTTGGCCGTACCAAAAACCATGCTGAAGCTGAGGAGATCGGGCGTTTTCAGTCATGGGCCCTGAACTATGGAACAATCTGCCCATCAACATTCAACAGGCCACCTCAGTCTCTGCTTTCAAATCTCTCCTCAAAACACATCTGTACTCATTGGCATTTAACACAGTGTGATCTCATTTGATATTTCATTGTTCATGATTGTGCTCATCCATTTTGCTTTTACTCCCTGACATTTAACACAGGGTGATTTGATTTAGTATTTCATTGTTGCTCATTATATTTCATGTTTTTATGCTTTTATTCATGTTGCTGTAATATCTTATTATCTTTTTTGGTAAGCACTTTGATAACAGTTACTGTTTTAAATGTGCTATATAAATAAATGTGACTTGACTTGACTATACAAATAAACATAATATAATTGAAACTGAATTGATAACTGGAATGTCTTATTTATGTACAAAATTATGATTTATCTTAAATTTAGTATGCGTGGCTTAGGTGCATTCTATAGCATAACAATTACGGTACTTGCACGCACAGCAAATGATGCTTCACCTAAAACAGCAGCAGCTGCTTCAAACTGGATTCAAATAAATAGACTGACCTGCAGGACGATGCAAGTTGGCTGGTAGTAATCCACCACCTGCTTTATAACAGGCTGGAACAGCTGCCTGTAGCCTGAAACAAACACACAACTGTGTTACAACAGAACCAAGTGTGTGTTTAAATTTCAGAGCTCTGTACTCACTCTGATCATCAATGCCATCTCTTAGAGGAACGTTTAGGCAGTAGTAGCGGCCACTCTCTGCTCCCACCTCGTACATGTCACCTAAAGAAAACACAGGTTTAATTCCTTCTAGCCATTCATGCAAAAATGCGACAACCCAACAGCAGTTACCTGTTCCAGGGAAAAAGTAGTTCCCATATTTGTGGAAGGACACAGTCATGACTCTGTCCGTTAGGTAAAAGGCTTCCTGGACACCGTCACCATGGTGAATGTCTATGTCAATGTACAGAACTCTTGGGTGGTACCTGAAACCCACACACAGGGTTACAGTAGGACAAAAAGATAAAAAAACACATCATGAAGTCCCAGAGAAGGTTCCTCTCACTTGAGAAGCTCCAGTATACTGATGACGATGTCATTGACGTAACAAAAGCCAGACGCCTGCAGACACACAAGAGAAATAAATCTGGGTGTAACTTGTAGGAAACTGACAGAAGAGGGTGACAACATACACAACTTAGTTCTGACCTCAAACTTTTTGGCGTGATGCAAACCACCAGCCCAGTTGATGGCGATGTCACAAATCTGAAAAGTGTTGGGTACAATCAGCACAAATTATCATGAACGATCAGATTTATGTGATTTTAATGCAAAAACTCATCTTTTGAAGTGGGGTTCCATTAGAATAATTTCTAAACTTTATTCCTCAGAGTCTCGCTTTATGAACCAACAGAAAAGCAACATGCCTGCATGTATGTGTACAAACCAACTTTACTTTTTGCCAATTTATTATTTATTTGTTGGTAATGCATTCTAGGTTAATGTATCCCCAATGGTGCATTAAGTTGCGCAAAAGGACCAACCAGACTTTTTTTTAAAGTAAGACATAGCTTTTTAAATACATTTTTCTAACTTTTTAATCCAGTTTGATCAATCAATTTTTTCCTTATTGCTCTCGGCAAAGGCGGTTGCTTTTTCCTCCCACTCCTTTCCTGCTCCTGCTCTTTGTCCTGTGAACCTTTTCAGAGCCTCTCTTTGCATATTGTCCAAATTGTAAATTATGGATATGGTCAGCTGGACTCTCAATGCAATTGCTCAAATTTTATCAACACAATGAGACACTGGCAGCTGGATACACGATGGATTCCTGGGACAGTGGAAGATCGTGTGTCTGTCCATATTGTTGGTCGAGGACGTAGAAGATGTGTACATAATTGGATTTATGATAAGACTTTTGCTTTTTGGAGTTGGTGGTTACCTGGCATATCGACAAATTCGAAAAACGTCAGCAGCTGTTCTGGCCAATGTGAAGCTGCCTTATCTCTATGAAGGAATGTGTCACTCTTTGAACACTCAGACTCAAATGCTATGTGAGCTGAGCCATAGGCTTCTGCTGAGAATCGCAGGCTACTTGCGGCTTCTGGATCTTGTGGGCAGGAAGGAATTGACCTTGAAAAAGTTACAAGCTCCGCCCAGTGGTAATGACCACAAAAATTTGGCTGTTTGGAGTTGCCATTGAGATGAAACAGTAGAACTGTAAGGCAGACAGAAATTAGCAGAGTTGGCCTTTCATTCTGTTCTGTCTTAATCCAACTATACAGAATGGACGGTTAAAGCAGTATTGTTGCTTACTATAAACTTTATTGTAGCAGTACAGAACTACATAACAAGTGCATCTCCCTAGCCCATTCTCAGTCTGTGTCACACACAAATATATCCCCCTGGAAACATAACCTGAACTAACAATCACTTATTAAATCCTTTCTCTCTCTTTTTTTTCCTCCTTTTAAAATTTCTATATAAACAAAATAAACCTTTTACATAGTGCATTGGGATTTAAACATAGACACTTTCAAATATTGCATGTAATTATATTGGCAAACTAAAAAACAAACAAACAAACAAAAAACAATTATATATCTTCCTAGGCATTTAACCTCAAGTGCATATTCTGTAAAATTATATTTTGATAATACATTCCTTGCAAAACAAAATATGCAATGAATAATTCCTTTTTTTTTGTTCACATCTGTTCTCTATTTTCCTTTATTTTTCTTATTTCAGAGCAACATAAACTCACAACCAAACATTGAAAGTGGCTATACATGTGTGAGAATGTTATGGTAAATGGACTGTACTTATATAGCGCCTTTCTATCTTATTGAGATACTCAACGCGCTTTACACTACAATCTGTGTCCTCATTTACCCATTCATACAGCACTCTGCTAGATCTCTACAAAGCTAACTGAACAAATCATTTCAAAGAGACTAATCAGCGCTTTATCACATTCATACACCGATGGGACACACATCAGAGGCAACGAGGGGTTCAGTGTTTTGCCCAGGGCCACTTCGGTATGTGACTGCTGGTGGATTCGAACCCCCAACTCTTGTGTTGGAGTCTAACCAATCAGCCACAGCCACCCAATGTTATGTAGTATAGTCCTTCAAATAGGATGGTTTCTTAATCTGACGACCAGACCTTGTAGTAACAGTGTTTTGGTCACCACCCTGATGACCAAGTTAATCAGCTACCACAGTTTGTCCCTGGTTGTTCTAATGTTGAGGTTGGGCAATAGTTGTGCCTGAGATGGTGACAATTTCTTCTTAGGACACCACCCGACTCCAGCTCCACCTCATAAGATCTGGGACTCACTGGTCTAATCACTTTAGCGGTTTTCCAGGTTTTACAAGGTTCGAATGGTTGGACTTGAACACTGTACACTTCTCTGAAACAATCCAAATCTTTTCCTGTGCGGTTGTAGTATTTCTCCCATCTTTGTTGTTTTTTATTTAATTCCTGTTTGTTGTTTGACATCTTAGGCTCCAACAGTGTCTCTTTCGTAAGAAGAAGTGTCAAGGTCCTCCTCCTGAGAAGTCTGTGCTGGACTTGAGGTAGACCTTGGCTCGGAGTGTTGCAATGGTCCAGTAGAGCCAAGTATGTATCCTGTCTAGCTGTTGCAGCTTTCTGCATGAGGTGTTTTGCTGTTCTGACAACTGATTCTGCTTTTCCATTGCTTTATGGGTATCCTAGTGAAGATGTTCTATGTTCCAGTTCCCACTTTTGGCTGAACTTTTTAAACTCATATGATGAGTACTTTGGTCCATTATCTGAAATGAGCACATCTGGAATCCCCTGACGAGCAAAGTGTGCTTTCAGTTTGTGGATCACTGTGGTACTTTTGGTGTCTGGTAGATAACCAACTTTTCCAAAACTTGAATAATAGTTCACAGTAATCAGGTAGTCCTTATTGTACCATGAAAACAGATCCATTCCTACCTTGGCCCAAGGCCTGTAGACAATGTCATGTGGATGTAAAGTCTCTTTTTGTTGTTTGGGGGTTCACTGACCTGCAGATGTCAAATTTGGAGAGAAATGTCTAACTGCTCATTCATCCCTAGCCAGTACGGAAGTCTGTTCTGTGGTCAGATGAGTCACGATTTGAAGTTCTTTAAGGAACACTGGGATGCAATGTCATCCGGACCAGAGAGGACGAGGATAGCCCAAGTTGTTATCAACGCTCTGTTCAGAAGCCTGCATCACTAATGGTATGGGGTTGCATGAGCACTTGTGGCATGGGCAGCTTGCATGTCTGGAAAGGCACCATTAATGCAGAGAACTATGTTCAGGTTCTAGAACAACATATGCTCCCATCTAGACGTCATCTCTTTCAGGGAAGACCCTGCATTTTTCAACACGATAATGCCAGACCACATTCTGTAGCAATCACAACATCATGGCTACGTAGGAGAAGGATCTGGGTACTGAAATGGCCAGCCTGCAGTCCAGATCTTTCACCTATAGAG